CCTCATGCCTTGCATTTTGTATTATTAAATTCTTAAATTGGTTGGCTGGTATCGTTTCACCTTAATTCAGTCCAGGGGAATCATGAACTTGGTTGTTGGTCTCACGGCGAAGGAGGTCATCCTGAACGACTCCTTTTGGGCCGCGGCAGCTGCATCCAAAACAGCATGACCAGCAGGTCAAAAGAGGTGATTCTGCTCCTCTGCTCTGGTAAGACCCCACCTGGAGTCCTGCGTACAGCTCTGGAGACCTCAGCACAGGAAAAACATTAACCCGTTGGAGCGGATCCAGACAAGGGCCACAAAAATGATCAGAGGGATGGAACATCTCTCCTATGAAGAAAAGCTGAGAGAGTTGGTGTTGTTCAGCCTGGAGAAGAGAAGGCTCTGGGGAGACCGTACTGCAGCCTTCCCATCCTTAAAGGGGGCCTATAAGAAAGATGGGGACAGACTTTTTAGCAGGGCCTGTAGAAATAGGACAAAGGGTAAAGGTTTGCAACTAAAAGAGGGAAGATTTAGACTAGATATAAAGAAAATATTTTTCACAATGAGGATAGTAAAACACCAGCAGGTTGCCCAGGGAGGTGGTAGATGCCCCATCCCTGGAAACAATCAAGGTCAGGTTGGATAGGGCACTAAGCAATTTGATCTAATTGAAGATGTCCCTGCTCACTGCAGGAGGGTTGGACTAGATGACCTTTAAAGGTCCCTTCCAACCCAAAGATTCTATGATTCTGTGATTTAGTATCCTTAAAGGGCTTATGTGGTGATATGTATGTTTTGTTGTGGCACGGAGGAGCTGAAGGAAGAATAGGACCTGTTTTAAGGTTTGTTTCATTCTTAGAAAAGAGGCTAACGGTTTTACTTTCTTAGACTACTGCATAGAAGATCCCCAAGCTGCTACACTTCCTAACTCTAAAGGGCTAAGTGACTTACTCTACTGTCTTAGCCTTTTACTTCTCTATGCATGCACAGTGCTTAAGAACAATCTTTATCTTAATTGTAGCAGTAGTGCTGGATCCTGGAACGTTGGTCATTTGCACTGATAAGTAGTTATTGTCTATGAGGGGCCAAGCACCTTTCACTCTGCATGTCTGGAAGCGATCCTTAGAAGTCCTCAGATGACGATTACCAAACCAACCACAAAATCGGTAAGTAGGAGGATGATCCTTCTCCATTCCCTGATTTCTCTGGTTTCTGTGTGACCACTGTAATTGCAGGGATCATCAGTCACTTGCGGGTTGGTGGAGGATGTGGGTCCACCTTTGGAACAGTTCCTCTGGCTCATGAGGTCACTGCAGAATGGTAGACTAGGCTTCCATGGCAAACTTTGGAATCGCGATAGGTTCAGGCAGAGTACACTCACAGGGCCTTGCAGAACTCCAAATCAAAGCCCTGAAGAGCCAAGTTTAGATGTGAAGTTAAGGATACAAAATTGGCGGTGCACTTCTGGATTTGACAAAGTGTTTGCAGCTGGCAGTCACCTGAGCATAAAACAGATGGCAGAGAGAAATGAAACAAACCTTTTAGGTTGCAATACCCCATTCTACACCCACAGGGGCTCACCCATCAGGGAACACTGTCAAAAAGAGAAAAAGGGGTTGGGAGACAGAAAAATAGCAATACAGACCATCTCAAAGGCTGAGATGACCCACGCATGACTTAATTTCCATCTAGGCAATAGACTGGATAAAGAGCACTAACTCCTGACAAGCATAAGCCCTGCCTTTCTTTCCAGATACCAAGGTGATGATGCAGTTCTGTGCTTAAGCCAATCACTTAGCCAACAAGCAAGTCTCCATTTAGCCTTTCAGTGCTTTACACAAGTTACTGAACTTTTAAACAGAACCCTGCCTCTCAGAAGGATGTGCTAAAGGCAGCAAGCAATACACTTTCAAACAAAAACAGACTGAATGAAGCAGAAATCAAAGTTTCTCTTCTAAAAGCAGACTGAGGGGAAGGAGGGTAGGGAATGGACAGGGCATAAATTCAGTTTGCTTTATCTCCCTGGCACTGCCATAGCTAAAGCTTCACTGCTTGCTTCCTGGGACTAATGAGTGAGAAAACCCACAGCTGTCTGAAGTGCAAGCTGCCAGCTAAGGAATCCATACACTGCAATAGCAGTACCTCTTACAGTATAATTCAGTAAGACAACAAGGGGCAAAGAAACCCTCTCCCCACAAAAGCGTGAAGTACTTATCAGATGTAATCAACAGGTACACAGTTCAGTTTACATAAACAAACCAGTTAGACCTTATCTGATCACCTATTTCCACAAAGAAAGCATAATTACCATACCAGCAAGTAAACTGGAGTTTCCCAGCCCTCTCTTCCACAGCTCTCACTGTCATGATCTGAAATCCTTCCTGATTCTCATGGCAGTTAACAATAGTTTTCTGCAGATGACTTTCACACAAAAACTCATGAGGAGCAGAAACAAGACTGTGTGCTGCACTAAAGGAAACAGAGCCACAGGGGTTAAAAGTAGCAGGACAACAGTCAAAAGAGATCGGGTTCCCTCCCACCCGAAGAGCTGAAAACAGTTGTAACAGAAAATAGACCTTCATAAAGAATGTGTTCATGACTTCATGCAATAGCTGTCCAAGCATTCAAATCTATCTACTAAAACCATGCTGTGCTTATTTGTTCCTTTTATGACCTATAAAATTCAGCTGTGCATATATTCATCTGCAATTTCGAAGTGTCATAAAGCAGATTTTGAACACCACAAAAACACTTACAAAGATACAGGTAAGTGTGAAAAAAGGGGAAAATACAACATATTTCCCCTCAAACCGTTCTTTACAACATTTCCCACTTGTTTTCTGTGTCCTCAAAGTAAAATAGGTATGGGTCCAGTCTGATTTTATCAGCCTAATTAAAATGTCCATAAACTCCAGAGACATGAGGAGTCAAAAATGGACTGAATAGTAATGTAGCACTTTACATTTTTAAACAGTTGTTTTCTGCAATTCACAGTGATGAGAGGCTATTAACAGTTTATTTACTTGCCCCCTAGCTGACCCTCCTGTAAGCCAGTACTCATATCACTTACTCTGAATATCTAAACCATGAAGGGCAACACTTTTTGTCCGTAATGGGTAGATAACGCACATCTCCTGTCAAAATCCTCTTCTTGTCTTGCAACACAGAGTAGAAGGAGGATGTCTCTAACCTACAGCCAAGCGTGACCATGAATTGTATGAGTAAAACAGTAAGTTTCTCACTTGATCTTTGGGCAAATGATATCTAGCTTCGCAAAAGAACAGAAGAAACCCCCAATCAAATTCTGTGTTTTCAGACACACAGAGAAGACCGATGCCAGGTAAAATGACATAGACAATGTAGGTTCAGAGCCTGACTTTCAAAATACCAAAACTTTTCTTATATTCCCCTCAGTTATGACTTTTGATAATATCTTAATCACATACAAATTAGTCTAGCTGAGGAAGTCAGTCAAGTTATCAAATAGCCTAATAAATCTCTCCCTCCACACTCCCTGCAACTTTAGGAAATTTGCTTGCTGCTTTCAGTGGATTCTTGGTGAATGAACAGCGATTTAACTAAAATCGGTTGACCTCTCCCTACAATTTATTTCACGAAAACTACAAATATATAAAAGCGCTCAAGTTAGAGAGAAACATCTTCACAGAACTACAACTGCTCATATCACTTCTGAGTTGAAAACACTGATCACTTTAGCAGGCGTCTGCAGTGCGCGGGGTGCCTTCCACCCTCTCCCTGTTTCCAACCCGCCACGCAATGCTGGCTCTACCTGAAGCAAAAAGAAACGTAAGTTCCCCCCGTCTTCAAGCAGGCCGCCGCACAGCCCGGCGCTGCCCAGCTTCGCTCCCATCACTTCCAACCCGAACGCATAACACCCCCACTCTGTTC